CCAACAGGTATAAAGTTCAAGACAGTGTTAACTCATTCCATCAAAAACGATAATATAACTGAATAAATCCCCTCTTAAAAACATAAAAGGACATTCACTTCATTCAAGCATGATGAGATTTCTGGCTAAGGTTTTCGCTTATAGAAGCAATAATTCAGATGGAACATTCAGAAGCTTATAACAACTAGGAGTATAGAGTCTCAAAAGAAAAAGATATAGGAAAGGTAAGAAAAGGAACACAGATATACATGAAATTTTATGATTTCCGTTTTTTTTTTTGCTAAGTAGGAAATTTTACTTATGAGTTCAAACCAATAAAAAAACAGTACATAAAACCATGTAACGTATTTGAACAATAACAAAAGAGTACCTCCCCAGTATGCAAATGCCTTCAAGAGATCAACAAATGTGGATATATCAGCTGAAAATTGCACCTGTTCTCTCTATTCACCAAAAAATATAATAATAAAATAATAATCATAATAATAATAGTGATACTAAAGATCTCAATGTATTGAATGGAAAGAAGTGCATTAGATATTAAATAATGAGGATACCTTCAAAAGAAGATTCATGATTGTATCACATGCCAAGAAAATGCAACCATTGTCTTCTACATTTTGCCTGCCTGGTCCAATTAATTCTATAAGGCATTCCACAACCTGCAAATATCTCAATATGCTTATTACGATTCAAGATTTAGGGTAAGAGTATTACATATGTACAAAAATTCACATTGTAGATGATACTATGAGCTCAGCAATCATTACTGAGGACAATTGCAGCCCAGCTCATTAATTTAACATCATAAATACAAAATATGATTGAACATTAGCAAAATTGTGACTCCAACGTACAGCTTTATACCCTCCAGAACCAACCAAAACTTTGCACCCCTCAACCGTCATTGTAATTTGGCACAGCATTGGAAGCAAAAAGCAAGCCGAGTAAAATGGCCTGTAAGTTAAATACAAATTCGGTACACCATCCTCCATATATACGAATCAAAGAGAAACTTATGAATATGATCTGAAAGTTGCTGAACCTTGATTCATCTTCACCTTCAACTGTGAGAATATAGTTCAAAAGTTCTCTAACCTTCTCTTTGCAAGCAATGGGAGTTTCGGCAAGATAGCTGAAATAAATAAATACACAACGTTGATAAAAGAATTTGTTATTTATTACTAAGGCTTTCTTGTAAATAAAAAGACAACTTAGCATTCACAAGTATTAGCTTGCATGCGTTTTTACTTTCTCCACGAAATTAACTACATAATCTCCAGATATTTATTGATTCACTATAAAGCTAGAGAGAAGCTTAAACACATGTAGATGAAGAGATGATACCTCCCAACAACACGCACTGAAGCAAGAAGATCATTTCCCTTCTTATGACCATGTTCCTGTAGATTCATCACTGTGAATAAAACAACAGAACAGCACAACAAAATTCAACAATGGAAGTACCTTTGCATCTTGTAGATACTCCAGAACAACAATCATTGTCTCATTAAGAGCCTTGATCACCTTCAGGAAAACAGTTTCGTCGATGAGGTTTTCTGAAAATGTTTCAAAGTAAATAAAACTTCCTAGGAAAAAAGAAAGTTAACATATTTCCAAAATTTAAAAACCAGGGAAAAAAATTTTGAATGGAAGGCTCAATGATTACAAAATGGGGGCAATGAGCAGTGTTCCCTGACCACAATCATCATATGCTAACTTTATCTCAGAAAAAAAAAAACATATCATCGGATGCTAACCAAAAGGTTTTATTGAACATAAGATCTGGGAAGACATAAACTGAAATGTTATTCATTAAAAATAAAGTGCAAAGATCTTTTCTCCTTAGAAGTTTGTGGGTTCAAATTAATGAGGTCCTCGTAGTTGTGGATTTCTAAGTGACGGAGTCTCTAGCTCAGAGATTGTGTAAAATAATTTAATGTCCACATGCTCTTGAAGAGATGAGCTAATTTTGTACTCCCAACCAGGACAAAAGTAAAAGTTAGCATGCTAGCAAATCCAGAATGTACCTTCATTTTCATTAACTCTAGATATCAACTTGATTATCTTCTCCACCAAAGAAAAGGCAATAGCCACTTCCCGTTGCTTTAAAAGAATAGTCTCAGCAGTTGAAGAACTCCCAGAAGATTCATACTTCAAGTAAGCAAGTTCATTTAGCAGAACAGCAACTTCAACCCTTGATGACTCTAAGACAAGCAATAGACACCTGAGGGGAAAAAATCTAATACAAATGAACCATCCCAGCCAATAATAAAGGCTTTTTCAGTACCCCAATAGTAACATACATTGCTTACCTATCTGCTGGAATAGGGTCCTCAACGTTGGATAATTTTACCTGTCCAATCAGCCATTCTTCACCCATTATCGACACCATAGACTCAGCAAGAATAAGGGCGTGGAGCTTGTCAGCCGGGGCTGCATATTCAAATTCTCAACTCAATTAAACAATTCAAATTCTTTGGAAGTTAGGAAGCGGCTTGATATAGAAAAATATATTATAACTCAAATCATCAACTTCAGGAAAATGAACCCAAGCCGTGTACACAGACTATGTACCAGTCAGAAACCAGAGAGCACCCAAATACTTAACAAAATAATTAATTCTTTTTCAACAGAAAGAGAACCGTTTCACCCACAAGCACCAAGGAAGAGCAGCCAATCACAAAAATAATTAATTCCATTCAATAAAAACCAAAATACTTGACCAAAGACAACCTAGATAATGATTCACATGAAATTTATATATGTGATGTTACTCTACCATCTTGATCCTTTACACTCAACAAATACGAGAGCAACCTGTCCCAAATTACCTCTTAAGTTCTAATAATTCTGGAACAAACCAAAGATAACAGCTACTACTTGTGAATAACAAAGATCCCTCTCTCTATGAAAGAATAACTACTCAAAAGAAAAAATGTATTTGGCAACCCAAACCCTGAAATATTTTATCAAATATCCATAATGAGGAAAAAAACAAGTTTGGCATCTTTTATTTTATAACGGAAAACGTATATAAAAAACAACAGAACGCTTTTTAGAAATATCTGTACAGCACAGGTACTCTACGGAACCCAAAGAACTCGGGAGAAAACAAGAACTGTTCAACGTACCTACACGATTCTGTAAATGGCCACAATACCAATACGCATATAATTTGACCAGCTCTTATCTGGAATTACACGAAGAGGTCCATGAAGAAGTGCCTAAAGATGCCATAAAGGGTGAGAATGAATTTCAAAGGAGGGTCAATCTGCTACTAATCCATATGCATGTCATAGAACAATAATGGGTAAATGACAGATTAATTCTAATGGATTCAAGATCTGAAAGTTTTGACTAAAAAAATTGAAATGCTGTGACTTCCTAAGCATGTAAACACATTTTCCAGCCTCGAAATGAAATCTGTGTATGTTATAGGAATGGTAGCAAGGACATCCACCCTTTTAGTAGGTCTTTTTTTTTTTTTTTTTTGGATTCATGTTTAAAGTGACAGAGCTCAATAAGTTGACCAAAAACATTTAAAAGGAAAAAGAAATCAAGTACTTAAAGACAGATACCATATTATTGGGACAAAACTACATATTGTCAAAAATCAAGCCCTCTGTGCTAGATGATAGGCCCAATACTAAACTGAAGTGGAAGTCATAAATGTGTAGCCATTAACAATCACCAAAAACTCTTCAAATTAATCAGTGACATCATCCTATGATATTTTCTAACAGACACTATGGAGATGAATACATACAGAATAATCTGAAGAGAAGATTCCAGAGAGTAAGTGAAGTGCTTCAAACTTCACAGCATTATGCAAAGCAGAAAATGTCCGAGCAACTGTGCCCACCTAAATTTAGAAACAAATGCATAGATTTTCTTAACATTATTAAAGGTGAACAGCAAAGTCAAACAGAAAATTTTAGTCTTTTACAATTGAAACCCATACAAGAAGAATAGTTAATTATAAGGCTACTGAAAACTTGAGACTCACCACCATAGACAGCTCTAATTGACAGTTGTTGTCAATGCTATCTCGAGAAAGCTTGCTTAACAATAAGCGCAGAAGTTTAATAGCAAGTTCCGTCGCATGAGAACCTGTAGAATAAATATGTGCATGAACTATTTGACAGTTGGCTTTCCTCTACTCAGATATATATAAATCAAATCAATCACAAAACATTTTTCCACAAGAACTGAAAGTACATAGATGGTAATAATTATAGTAAAAACAGTAGGAAATATAACTAGGCTCAGAAATTTTGAATATACATACACATACGAATTGCAACAAAATGAAATGCATCAAAAAATTTTCCAGAATGCAACAGCAGATGAATAAAAAAGTTTTTAGCATGATTTACCATCAGATAAAGTAGACATCTGAAAAGCTAGTACTTTCAAGCCTCCAGTACTGAAAAATGTCTTGATTCCCTCGTCACAAGCAGCTGACACCAAATAGAGAAACTCATAGCATTCTTCACGAACATGTGAAGCCGATCTAATTCCCGGAAAAACAATTGAAGTTAGGATGGAAAAAAGAAGAAGAATTCACAAGTTCTCCCTGTGACATAAAAGCAACTATCCTGGGCAAGGCAAGAGAACCAAGCACTATAAAAAAAAGGATAACCAATATCTCTCCATAAATTTGATTCTAAGTGAAAACTTTTTTTTTCTGCATAAGAGTACTTTCTCATTGTAGTGGGTTCTGTTAAATGTACACAAAAAAATCCCATATTTGCAGCAATTTCTGCTAAATAGATCACTCAACAATACATAATAGATTTCTGTTCCACCACCCATCACCCAATCGCTATGTCAGTACCGACATACATCTATCTTTCCCCAACCATGCATAACTACTACCAACTACTGCCAAAACCGTTAACTAATTAACTTATCAAAAAATAAACAGTAAAATCAAATTACTCATCCCAGAACAACCCCTCAAAGTCAAATTCTCCTTCAGATCAGTAGACAAACACAAAGAGTAATAGCTTGAAGGAACTGTTGTCATCCACAATAACTTACTTAAATATCAAAGACACACAATTTCTTAAGTCCCATATTTAAAATAATTTCTCAAAAGTGACTTCATTCTGAAGCACCACAAGATATAACAACGATATTGATTGACCTTTATTTTGGATCATATCAATCATTCTATGTCCTTCCGTACTAACTAGAATCCACTGTGAGAGTCTAAAACATGAAGTGGAAATGAACGAGTATATTAAGAAGTCAACAAAATTAAACGACAGTTTTCAACAGATATGAAAAAGTTCCAAAGATAAGAACCATACTCCGACGACATTATTTCCAGTATATATGGAATCTTCGAAACCATCTCATCTGAAGAAGCAATCTCAGGAACACGACAGAATACAGCAAGGACTGTAACGGATAGCTGCAAATATGCTTCACGATTATCATTTCCACTGGAACTGGTAATTCCTTTTCCTAAACCTAACCCCGAAAAGAGAAAAGAAAGAATATGAGAAACAATGCTCTTCAGTTATAAGCACAAAACCAAGTGCACAAACTCAAAGTTCTACTTAGACTGATCTCCTACTGCTCGTTGTGAACTTATAACAAGAGAACCAATAAGCAAATATTAAAAAGGAACCATAAAGCCCAAATCCAAGAGATGTAGAGTGAAATACATTGTGGAGTACACTTGATCCCACAAACTTTACTGCCATAATTTTAAGTGAATAGGCAGAAAAAGTAATTATGAATTTTCAACAGTTTAAGGGAAACCACACGGAAATGCAAAGAAAATACCAGTCCTCAATAGGCGAACCAGAAACTGTGCACCGATAGCATCGTAAACTCTCTTAAGCGAAGCGAGGTCGTTGCCTTCGCAGAACTTGGTGACCAGAAGGAGACCAGCGAGTCGCTGCTCGTCTCTCTCGCCTTTCAACAGCTTCAAGCAATCTTCAAGAGACGGAGATTGCTCTTGCTGCAGTTGCAAGTCCTACAAAAGAAAAAGACAGCAATTAACAGAGAAAGTGCAGAGAGAGAGAGAGTGAAAGGTAACTCAAAAAGATCCACTTGCTCACCATTGAAATCCAGTATTCGATGGAAGGAAACGGGCGAAGAAGAGAATTTCTTGCAATTCGTGCTTGAATTTATTTTGGAGGCTTCGAGAGGGCTCTAAAGCATACATAACAAGCAGAAATTAGAGGGAAATTATGTGCCGTCCTGGATAAAAAATATGAAACGAAGGAAATTACCAAAATATCCCCTTCAGAACTTGAAATTTACTGTTACGGATACAGATAAAACTAGATCATGGCCAAAATCGAACGAGACTGGAAAGATTTCAGAGAAGACTGGAAACCTCGCAGAAAGAGAAGATGGTGTACCAACCAATCGCCAATGAAACACAAAGGAAGTAGGAAATTTTGCAGCAAAAAAGCAGTGGCAGCCAGTGGTGGAGTGCGCTGGTGGTCCGCAATCGATGGTTGACGGAAGCTTATGGCTTCACGAAACGAGGACATAGAAGAGGTAGAGATGAGTGACATAGAGATGGAAACACCGGCGGGTAGTGGACTCAGGCGGCAGAGAGCGTGGTGACCGGGACGGTGGCGGCTACGGACAGAATTTCCCTCACTTTTTTTTTTTCTTTTAGGCTTTACTGGGCTTCGGCCTTTATTTCCGTTAAGTTTGGTTTTCGGCCTATAAAATTATCCCTCTTAACCCAAAAAAAGATAAATTTTTGGTTATGTGATTTTTTTTTTTTTCGGTCATAATTCTGTACAATAAAAAACATTTTATTTGAAAAAAGAAAAATTATGACAGTAAACTCATTTGTTACATTTTTCATTAAAAAAAAATTAATTAGGTTTCATTTACTATCGGAAAATAATTTCTATTTTCTATTTTTTAAAATTTTTAGCATTTATATATTTCTTAATAAAAATATTGTTAAAATGTTTTTTGAAATAATTAAATTTAAATAAAAATATTTTTTATATTAAACATTTTAAAGATATTATTGATTCGTACGCATATTTATGAATAAAATACTTGTACATTTATGCATCAGACAGTTCAGTTGGTTTAATTTTAGCCTTGCCTTTGGGCCAAGTCTCTTGAGCTTATCCAACTGCCCCCAAACGCGGGAACCAAACACGACTTACTACTTGTCAATCATTATCCATTTAGGACTTCCAACACAGACACACATTATTACGTATATGTGTATATATTACCCTTTTCTCCATCAGCGTTCAACTCAGAACAAACCACTCTTCAAACATGTATCAGAAAGGAGAAGCCCTTCTGTTTGAAAAAGAATTGAAAATGTACGACGACTTCGTCTCTTTATCCTCTTCTTCTTCTCGATCGAGGCGCGGATTCAGGTCCACAATACGCGGCTTGCGTACGAGCTCGACAGACGTGGTGGCGGTGGATGCGACGGAGAGAGGGAGAACGACGACGAAGTCTCCGTACAAATGGCTGAAATCGACGGCGCACGAGCTGGAGATCAAAGGTAAATGTCGCAGTCTCGTGGCGAGGATCGGCCGGAAGGGTGGCAGGAAGCGCCATGGCTCTGCCGATCTCAGCTACGACCCGCTCACTTATGCGCTGAACTTCGAAGAAGATCGTGTCTACGACGAGGAGTTCCATCCCGTATACGCGTCGAGGTTGCCGGCTTCACGGAGCGTCAGATTCCCATGAATCAACAGATTTGAAGGTAAGGCTCGCGCATTGAATTTGAAATGTATGTAATATTTATCTTGTACCGTAAATGTAAATTATGGAATTTGTGGATTGCTAGTTATGATTCTTTTCGCCTCGAAGTAGAATCTGAATCCACGAAAATGTAATATGCTGTCAGTTCCAGAAGCTATCAGAAGAAATTTTAATGGAAAATTATTAAGATTAAGTCTGTAAAAGAAATTACTTTAGTTATAAATTAAGGTTACGTGAAACTTTATGTTAAATTTAAATAATAAAATTTTAAATCTTACGAAAACCAATAAAATTCAAAATATATTATGGATAAGTGTTTTAATATTGAAAATTAAAATTAATTTTATTATGTTAAAGTTTAAGTTGATTTCTATTGCTAATATTAGAATTGTCCAAAGACTATATTTATAGTTAGTTTGACTATAAAAATTTATAGATCGTATTGAAATGATTAAAAATGAAATTCCAACGTAAAGTTTTACATTAGTTCAATTTTTATTATTCCATAAATAATTTTATAAATATTAAAATTAAATTAAATGTATATTTAAAAATGAATTACATAAAATATTTAAGTTTACTGCAAACACATCATAAGTTAAAACAAAAAAATACCAGATAAATATATCTTAATTTTTTGTAATGAGAATTTATCAACCGTAATAATTTTATAATATATAAATATATAAAAAAATAAAAGTGATTGAAAGATTTTAGAAAATTTAACAAGCCCGAGTGGTGGGGGGAAAGCAAAGCTACGTTTCAAATAATTTTGAAACAGCCATCCATATACACACACAGTTATATATATATATATATATATATATATATATATATGTAAGAGCTAAAGAATTGTTGTTCCTAAAAAAAAAAAAGGCCCAGCTTTTAAAGATTTAATGGATGACAAATATGCTGTAACATTATATTATAGTTGTTGTTTTTAATTTTTTTTTAATAATCAAATAGAGATAACTTTGATTCTTTTGTTTTCTTATGATGAATTTGTTTAAGTAAAACATACAATCGCATACTCAATTATATCTCCGACCCCTATATATGATTTTTAAATTATGATTATAGTTTAATATTCATTTTCATTTCATTCCAACTCAAAATTTAATGGGAAAAAAATAAAAAAGGTAAACGCCTTTTTCATTGGAAACAAATAAAATTTCATTCATTTATAAGAAGAACGTAAAAAAAAAAAAAAAAAAAAAGGAATTTTCTCAATAAAATTAGGTTGCTTAAACTTTGTTGGCTTATTATACCTACCGAAATGAATAAATAATAACATTAATAATGTACATTATAGTCGTACAATATTCTTAATTTTTTTATTAGTTGCATCCACGTCCCCTAATTGGATTTTTGAGCTGGCAATTTATTGTAAATCCAAAAATAATGCTGACAATTTTTCAAATCAATAATGTATAGTCTCATTTAATTTTATTTTAAACCGATAGTTTATAATCATACGCAATTTTATGTATGTGTATATATATGTATATATGTTCATAAAATTATTTATTTCGTAATAAATAAATATAAAATTAAAATGTACTAGAAGAGTCGTTAAAGCTATAACGAAATTGCCAAAAGAGCCGTTGGCCGTCGAAAAGTCAAACTGTCAATTAGCAGGCACCCCGCAGGTCACAGCTTATGATTGACCGGCCAGCGGGTCCTCTAATTCCTAACGGGAATCTCTCTAATTAATTGATATTTAAATATTATTATTATTACTTTATGATGATACACTCACCCAGCTGTCAAAGTAGCTCGAAGACAACCCAACCAAACAAAACTTAAAAAGACCCTGACACTAAAAATAATCGAATTTTCATTTCCCATTATTTCCTTTTTATAAAGCCTAACACATACACGAAAAGGAATCGGGGAAAGGAGGAAGCTATATGTATATACACGTACATATATATGTACATATAGCTTCCTTCTTCTCAAATCCACTGAAACAGTCTCTCTTCGTGAGAATCTCGAGTCTCGTTACTGACGGTTCTATTAATTTCTCCAAACCTATACGTTTTATTCTCGGATGGAATCCCTGCAAGAAAAACAGCCGGCGATTAGCGAAACCACGGCGTTGACAGGAGACGATTTTTACGCGGAAGATGGAGAAGAAACGGTGTCGTCTTTGTGCTGTGGAAATTGTTTTCAAGGATTTCGGTTAAGATGGCGGAGAAGAGGTGGCAAAAACAACGATGGCGGACATAGATACGAGCCTTATCATCAACAAGATCAGGAGAAGCAAGAGAGCTGGTTGATCGGAAGAGTGAAGAAGGTAAAGGAGTTATCTGAGGTAGTTGCAGGACCGAAATGGAAGAATTTTATTAGAAGGTTTAGCCATCACGGGATCCAAAGCAAGAAGATCAGGAAGATGCAGTTTCAATATGATCCTCAAAGCTATGCTCTAAACTTCGACGATGGAATGTGAGACGGAGAAGTAATTGACGGCGCGTACCGGGATTTCTCGGCAAGGTTTGCGGCCGTTCCGACGGGTAGACGAACAAATGCCGGGGGCGTGACACGACAAGGCTGTGTTTGGATATCGACCAATTGGGATTTTCGTCTTCTTAAATTACTCCACCGATTTGTGTACGTTCTTCATTGATTTTTTTTTTTTTTTTTTTGGGTTTAATTTTTCTTTTTAATTCGTTGAATTAGTCTTTGTTTTTGTTTTTCTATTGTAAAAATTGTGGAAAGGGTGATAGATTCTTTAGATTGATTACATTGTAATATAACGATTTCGTCGGGGTTTCATTATCATTAAAAGCAAAGTACGAACAATTTGACCAGCACTGTAAATAAAAGAAGCAAAACTAAATTTGAAAAGTAAAACTGGTTGGTATAAGTACCCCCCCAATCCTCCTCATATTAATAACAAGAATCTGATTAAATTTATCTGAAAATTGGTAAATTTTACTATAAACACCACTTTTTTTGTTTTTCTAATAATTAAGTCATAAAATTAATTTCTTGAGTCAATTTTTTCATAATCATATTAAATTATTTTTGCAATTAAATCAAAAGGCAGTCGATTTTTAAAAATAATTGAATTTTAAAACTTGCGTAATTTGTTTAGGATGTTGAGAGCGCAATGCTTTTAAAGATTTTTGTGAGTCTCTTAACATAATTTATTTTGTTGTTAAGAATTGTTTCACATCTCAACTTACAAATTAATCAAAGATGTTTAAGGCCGTAACATTTTGATGCCCAAGTAAATAATTTGAGAGAAATGATACCATTTGTGTATGTTGGAGTTCTAGCTAGTCTATATATATATATATATAGTCAAAGGGCCTGTCTGTGAAGCCCAGAAGCCCGAGCCCATGAAAAGAGAAGTTATGTGTGTGTGCGTGTGTATATATCGATATATTAGGGGTGTTTTTATTGTGCGTGCAAGGTGTAGTGGGTGCACCACATTTATTAACCATACATCTTTATGACGTAAGCCTCTAGAATCATTTGATATAAAAATCCTATTACGATTTCTCTCAGCCGACTCTATTCTCTCTCGGAATCTTTCTGATAATTGCGAATATCTAAGATAAGTTTTCTTACATATATATATATATATATATTTGTCTATTATTATATAGACATTAGAGATATTTGAGATTTATATAAAAACCCACGTTAATTAGGGCCACATTAAAATGCATCAGAAATATATATTTACATCATGGAATTGTATTAGACCTCTCATTTTTTGAAAAGAAAAAATAAAATAATAATAACTGGCATGCAATATGAAAAATGTGCTAAAATTACATATTTGCTAATAATTTTAACTCTACATTACATTGCCAAAAATCTATAACTCACTAGTATATAATAATAACTGTAAGGAATTATGCAAATATATTATTACCCTGTACAACCACAACCCCTTGCTATCTTATTCACAGATATGAAGAGAAAACAAAAATCATAAATCTCCCAAAAAAAAAAAATTTGCAGGTGAAATGATCCAAATCAAGTTACAGTAATATATAAACTCCTAACCTTCAACTTCCTACTGATATGGCATAATATCACATTGCACCACCACCACTACCCGACCTGTCCGTCTTCTTGGCTCATAAACCCAATCCTCTGTGTTAGCCTACTTTTCTCTCTGAATCAAAACATGGTCCCTTCACTTCAACTCCATATATCAGTTGCAATTTCTATGTTTTATATCGCATTTTGCATGAAATGATCGCTGCTATTTTCACCTGCATTACTTCTTTCAGAATCAAAGTTGGTGCAAAGCTCATCGTAGATTTAAAATTAACTAGAAAGACGTGTTTAAGGTTTTTAGTACCTCTTGCGTTTGCTCTTCAAGACGGTCGAAGTTGATGGATTACTGTGCCAGTTCCTCTTTCTCTGATTGATGAACCAGTTGTTTATCTGTTTTAATTGCAGACCTGTTTCTTGCACCAACCTTGCCTTGTCTTCCTCCTGTTAACTCAAAGATATGACATTGTGATTAGAAACAATTGTTAGAATTATTTGGTACCAGCTTAGACTTCAGTCAATTATTTAATAAAGTATTAGAGCTAAAGTTGTAATGCCTCAACCTACTCTTTCAGTTTGGTTAGTTGGTCTGTTAAATAATGTATTAGAACCTAAGTAATTTATTATCCATTTGGGAAACTTTTTCTTATTCCAACAAATACATAAAAAAAGTATTTTTAACAACTTGTGGTTGGGAGTATGACCATATGCAATAATTGTATAAATAATATTTTTTTTAGAGCTAGAGTATAAAAAATAGTTGATATCTTTTTCACTCTATATGCATTCATTTTATTAATAAAATACACGTATTTATATTAAAAAAAAAAAAAAATGTATAAATTAAAAAAAGTAATGAGGCTGCACTTACCGTTGGATATGGCCACTTAGAATGTGATTGCCACCAAGCTTTGAGAACAGAGGTTGTGTCACCAGGTAGTTTTCCGGCTCTTCTCTTTCGCAAAATTTCCTCCCTTATATCTACTATTTTCTCCTTGTAACCCTACAACAACGGATTAAAATTGGTCACATTGCATAACGTTAAAAAAATTCACAATAAATAGTATTCTTTACCTGTTTTAATTCATGCTTCAACTCTTGTCTCACACGTTCCATTAAGGATCTCTCGCTCTCTGTTGGGATAAGAGGACCAAACCCCATGTTGTCTGCACCGTCCAAACTTCCATCGAACAAGTTTGCATCACTATCTACTTGGTCATCATCGTCATCAGACATGGTAGCGCCTGTACCTTCGCCTGGGGAAACTCCTGTTTATGACATCGTGCAACAGATGCTAGAATTTCAGTAACCTTTGATTTTGAACTATACTTCACATTAAAAAACATACACTTACAACTCAAGTCATCGGGGAGAGGTTGGACATTCCTTATTTCGAGTTTCCTACACTTTTTTAACATATAAATTTTCGTCTATATTAAAGTTAAATTAATTCAAATTTCAATTATATATAATTTAAATATGAGCACAGTACAAATAGGTTAAAAGATTTGAATGAAAGTAATATTCTAATTTCTAATTAATTTGATATCCAATTTAAATTGGTTGCTCTTGTATTTCTTTTCTTATATATTAGAAATAAAATTTACCATTATAGAAATAAAAATGTGAGTAGAGTTGGCTTAATTATGTGCCAAATACATAAATTATTCTTTTTTAAAATAAAATGATAAACAAGCACGACGAAAAAATAATTATTTATCAAAATATTCTAAAATTTTCCAAAAAATATAGAGAATGACCCAAAATCAAAAAGTCCATATTATAGAACCATCTATTCCTACTCCTATCAAAATCCCCTACACCATCTACCCCGTAGCAAGCTCGTTTATTCCTCTTATTTCAAATCACCCAAAAGATAGTGAACGGAAAAAGGTCCACTAATTGCCTCCATCAACAAATACATAAATTATAACTAAAATTTATATATCAAGTAATAATAAAATAGATTTCAACATAATACAGTATAAGAAAAATCATGGTAGACGAAGAATTTCATTATCTAAGCGGGTGAAATGAAAATCGTAGTTAGAGAGTGTCGAAACTAATTAGAGCGATAAAGTCTCGTTTTCTTTTGAGTACGAAAACTATAAAATTTAGTAACTTAGGAAAAGAATGGAAAGGAAGGTGAGCAGGACTAGCTAACAGCTCCATATTCAAGAATCCTCCGAATAAAAAATTATGATATCACTCATCAACAACCCTTTCCCTTCCCATTTTGCCCCAATATATAACATCCAAAACAAATCCCAGTAGGAAAAAAAATCAAAACATACTAGTTCTTATTCATGCTTCTACACTTGGAACTGATTTCATAACAATGATGTTAAACTTCAATCATCCAAATTATTTACATAAGAGAGTTTAAGGGCAACGTGCCTCAGCAAGAACAAGGATAAAGGAGATGGATGGTCTTTCTTTGAGAAATATAGGGAGAAAAAGCAGTCAGTCACTCCACAGTTACTAAATTTATCTCCTCAAGAGCATCAAGTGTTGGATTGAATTTTTCAAATATGAAATGGATTGTTCAACTTGCATCTGATGCTCTGAAAAATATCCAATTTCTTTTCTCCAATTTCATTAAGGATACAAATAAAGAAATGCAATTAAAAATATGACCTGTTAAGCTTTGTAAGGACTGCTCAATCTCCCAGCAAGCCATTACCGCCTCCATTGCATGGACCCGGACATGTTGCTGTAGTTGTTCTTTGAACGAACAGAGTAGGAGAACATAATGTGTCTGTGAAATATTTAAGATTTAAATTTCTTCGCCAAATCTTGCCTTACTTTCAAATTGATCAAGGACAGGTTAAAATAAACAATCATAAGAAGTAGAAGCAAAGTAAATTACTTCTCCACCATCCAATCAAATGTAAAATGAGAATATCTTATTTTTATATTATTAGTTAGATGGAGTATTTCTTCGTGCTTCTGCTGCATATGCGATTAAAATTGATTACAGAGGTAATTAAAAAAGTGAGAGAATCGCAGAATCATCCTGAAATCCGAATAGCTCAATTAGGCTGAATAGTAAGACTAGACTGGATTAATGTATTTGGACATCATGAAAATGAATTTCCATAGTTTAACCATGAAGTTGCAGTATAAGCATTTCAGGTGCTCTTCCAATGATATTTACGTTCCCAGGCTTAGCTTCTCAAGAGTGCCATCATCTCAACAAGCTTTCACTAAAATCTTGGAGATGAAAACTAACTCCCATGGAAGATAAAACTATGGTATTTAATTCTAATCTACGAATATAATGTCTTCAAATTATTCCAAAAAAAAAAAAAAATGAAATACCCTGCATTCTCCACCGCCCCCGAAATTTTCACGCACCAATAGTACACTACTAATCCGGTAGTAAATATCTTCCTTTAATAAATTTCCATTTCTCTCAAAAAAGAAAAAAATGAAATTCCTTCTTACTTCCATGATAAACAGCATATTGACAAGAGAGTCATCAAATTAGCTTCAAAACATGATTATCAATCCCTCAAATGTCTAACCGCCTGTACTTTTATGTAAAGTAAAGAAATCTGTCTGCACCATTGATTACAATTTGACCTCAATAACAAAGAACACCAAATTAGGTTCTACTGAATTTTTAAGCAAAAAATGTGGTTTGTCCAGGATGAGCTTATCCTAAAGAAATTCAAACATTTTCTGCCAGTACAAAAGAAAACCACTAAAAAAGACGCCATCTCCGTATAATGGCAGAACCATTTGTCGGTAAAATGCATTTTAAAAAGACTCAAAAATCAACGAGAAGCACACAAAGCCAAAATGCATTTAAAGGAAAAAGTTTCTCTCTCAATAATTTTTGCCACCAATCAAATCACTCCCATTTTCTTATCTGACAAAAATGAAGTACCCTTTGCAGGATTATTTTAGAGGGTTCTTCTCATTCAATCTTTAAATCATCTCAAATTGATGAACCGCTCGAATAAGGATTTAAAAATTGGAAACCCAGAAACCAAAATTCAAATCTCTGTATGGAACGCCTAAAATTGGAAGAATCAATTAACGGAGCCCATATTAATGAATTTGCAATTCAGACATCGCCGGAAATTAGAATACCGTCCCAAATGGCAAAATTCAGACGAAACCCAGAAATCAAAAAGCTCAAATCCTCGAAAATAAAAGATGCATGAAGAAGAATAGAAGAGAGTACCATGAACTGATCGAGTTCCTTGTCGTCTCCAACCAGACCTTGAGCCGCGCTCAAGGCCGAGTACTTGGCGACGACGTGCTGGGACTGAGCGAGCTGGGCGTCGATCCTGGGCAATTGATCGACAGGGGTGGCAATTCGAAGACACGCAACGTGTGCGGAGAGGAGCTGCTCGTACAGCGGGTGCGCTAATATGTCCGCTTTGTACCTCGCATTTTGCCAATTCACAACGCTCTCTCCTCCTCCTCCACTCTCAACCACAACCCCCTCGCTCTTGTTGTTGTTATTATTATTCATGTTATCGCTGTTACTCTTCAAATCGGCCGACTCCACGCCGCCGCCGATGATCGACTCGGCTCCTCCTCCTCCAGCAGCGGCTGCTGCAGCTGCAGCTGCCACGTCATCTATTACGTCACTGTGGTTACGGTGGAGCAGCGAGGAAGACGAGCGGGACAGCCATTGGTTTGGCGCCTGCGAGGCCGTCGAATCGGAGTTGGCGTTGGCGCTGGCGTTATTGGCAGCTCCGGGGTTGGTGGTGTTCGCAGTGTGGAGGTTGAGGAAATTGGTGTCTGAGAAGTGCGCGTGCGGAGGTGGCTGCGGCTGTTGGGAGCGGAGCAGCGCCGTGTTTAACCAACTTGGTGCCGTCGTCTCCGGCAAGTGCTGCTGGTTCTGTGCCTGCTGCTGCTGCTGCTGTTGCTGGTCGGTGAAGTGATGGAGAGGAAGCTCTTGCGAGAGATGGTTATGATGAAACGCCATGTACCTATCTTTCCTTCCGTATACAGTGTATAAAATATATATAGGTATATACTCGATGTGCTCGAGAGACAAAGAAAGAAAACAATCTCTCAATGATTGTTATGTAACTCTATGTTCATGGCTTGACAGGGAGAGCGCGAAGCTCGGACCAGGCAGACAGTTGCAGAAACAGAATACAGAGAAAGGAAAGAGAAAAGAAAGTGAAAACTATGGTGAAGAAGATACGTGGTGTTAAAGAGAGAAAGAAAGAGAAATGATCATATGGATTAGTATATATAATAATATTAAGAAGAAGATGCAGAGAGAGAGAGAGAGAGAGAGAGAGAGAGAGAGAAGAGTGGTATTAAGAGAGCGGTTTTCAGGTGGAAGAAAACAGGTTATGATGAAATGGTGGGAGTTTTTATGGCGGAGAAGGAGGGTGGTGGTGAGTAAGGAGGAGGGGACCATCTTTTTTATTAGTATTATTATTTAGACTTTTCTGCTCACATTAGGTTTCTTCCATTTTTTAGAAAAATCATGATTGGTTTCCTAAAAAATAATTATTAATTATTTTATTAAATTAATTAACACATTAATCAAATCTTAATTTAAACTTTAAATTAAAACTAATAATAAATTTCCATGGACTTTGAAATTTTCCTTTCAAGCTTCAATTTCTTAATTTCAGAAAAATTTTGAACATTTAGTAAACTTACTACATGCATACCGATGTTGATTTTTCTGAAATTACAAATGATTAGTTTCCTATTTCACAAAATAGTAATTTTAATATTTAAATAATTATATAATTGTTTTTTTAATTAATTAAATATTTCTTTTGAAGAGACTAATTTTTTATTTTTTTTTAAAAAAAAAAATTTATAAGACGGATTAGGAAGGTAATGTTCTCCATGTCAACTGCCACGTTTTTTTTAATTTAATAAATTAAACCGACGAAAATGAAAAAGGAAAATGGGTAGGTCGTAAAGTTTAGGTTAATATTTTCGCTGGACGTTTACGAACCGTTGATCTGTTGCACGGAGGGCGTTAGGTTGATTGTGATCGGACCGTGAAGAAACGTCGTCGTGGCGAGAAAGTGTTGGTGTGTCTGCGGAGTGAAATGACACCGTTTTGGTGAGGGAAGCGCGTGAGCGTGGACGATTCAAGCAGTAGAGCGTACAGGTACCGTATAGGGCGGTTGAAAGGTGCAGGTTTTCGCAATTCGCATCACTGTAGCAGGAAGCGTATTTATGCCCTCACACCACTGCGATACTGCTCCTGTGACACTGTACTTGGTTTTTTTTTTTTTCTGTGTTCTGTAATATATATTTTTTAATTATATTGTAAATTACGCTAACAATAAATTTACGTTAATTATTTATCTAAATTTAAAGGTGAAATTATTAAATTAATTTCAATAATTTAGCATTTTTTATAAAATAATATTTTTAAATTAAACGAATTAAATTACCATATAATATGATAATGGATTACAATAAAAAATAATCGAGAGTAACATTTTAGTTGTAAATTAATTAATGTATTAAATTTAATTATTATGAAACTAAAAATATGAATAAAAACTTAAACAGTATGTGACAATTAAAAAAAGTAATTTTTAACGGTAGAATTAGGCTTGATAAATGAAACACTCGGGATTACACAACAAATAATAATTTTGTTATTAGAACCCAATTAAATCCATCCATTAAAATTAAGATTTCATAATGTGATGTTAAAATCTAAGTATTGAGAAAAGAAAAGTTATTGGTAACACGTGGCATCAAGGATCTAAGTGACAGACATTGAACCTTTTTACCAGAAAACAATAGCCACCTCGCGTACCCTCCATGTAAAGTATGTGTACTTGTACTTACCAACAAAAAGTACATCATTGTATTTTGTATTGACTTAATTTTTATTTTATTTTTTGTTTTTAAAATTAAACTATTTTAATGATCCCCTAAAACACTGGAGCCTGTTTTCCACAAATTTTAAATTAATTTAGAAATCAAAATTATTATAGTGGATAGGATTTTCCTTTTCAACTTCAAAAACCTTTAATTTATTATTATTACCTTCTATTAATAACACATATATATTATTGAAATAAATATATTTTAGTAGCTTTTTTTTTTTTTTTCAATCACGTACGGTTATATTATAAAATTTAAATCTTATCAAAAATATAAAAATTATTATTTTATAAATATATTATATATTATTAGTAAAACATCTATAACATTTAATTTAACAAAATTTATTGAATTAACTTATACATTTAGCAAGCCTTACTGAAATTATTATGTACTGTTAAAATAAAATATTTTTTATTAACTAATTTTTTTTAAATTAAAGACATTTATATCAGGTTAAAAATTTATTGTACGCGTTTTGAATGCATCTCACTTTAGCCTGTATCACCGGCGGTTCAGCGATTCAACCGACCGGCATTAGCCAGTAGCCGGTGGCCAGGACTATAACAATGGTAAGGAAAAAATTGAGAGATGAGAGAGGGGGGGGGACCATAAATTACGTCGTTCCCCTCTCCGCCACTCGCGGGACAACGACAGGCGGACACGCGTCGGTCTGTGGTGGCTTGGACCACTTATGGCGGTCCCACGTTAAGCACGCGCCGAGTAAGAGAATCGAGGCCGTACACGTGGAGCAATGGAGGGCGGTGGGGACCATCGAGAATTTTGACTTGTCTGACAGCCGCCGGCTTAATGAATGCGAGGGTAGCTGGTCCCCTAGGAGGGAGGTGGGGTCCAATCGCAAATGAGAGGAGAAAAAAAAAAAAAAAAAAAAAAAAGATTGGGACCCAGCAGTGTAGAAGGTACCGTTTGGTGTTTATGGCAAAACTGTCCACCTGCGATGCCAAAAATGGTCCCCTACCTCCCACCTATCAGAGCTCTTGTTGGCCTCTTTGGTTAAAGCATAGGCGCGTGTGTTTGCGTGGGCGTGTGAGCATTTGTTTGGAGTAATATAATTATAATATTCGTTTTTTTTATTTATTTAGGTTTATTCTATTTTTCAAAAAAAATATTATTATTTAAAAATGTCAATACCATAATATTTAATTTGATAAAAAATTAATTATTTAATTTGCTTTTGAAGGACTAAAAATCTTACTACTTTTTGTGATATTTGTAACGTGCCGTCGGCCAAACGGCAGAAGCAAACCATAATAAGCTAAAACATGGAGGGCCCAAATGTAATTTCTTGGAAGGCCCCGCCGTGGGTCCCATTTTCAGATACCCCAAGTGGCCGAATCCATCTACATAAATAAATAAATTTTAAAAAATTAAATAATTTTTAATTACGGATTAAAATTTTAATATATATTTTTTAAGTAAAAGTTTCGTATACTTACAATCTAGATTTTAGCAGCAGAGGATGAATTTATTTATGCTATTGTTAATTCACTTTATGGGACAAAACACAATCCGGGTTTTTTTTTTTTTTTTTTTTTAAATGAGAATAAAGTAATGAATGTAATAAATATTATCTTTATAAGTAAAGATATATATATATATATGTAATGGTAGGTATTACTCTACGTTATCACAAAGTATAAAGAGAAATTAGGTAGTATACTTTAGGACACGACAATATTTGATCGTGTTAACTTGGACAATGACAATATAGATACTCTTACACACACACACATATATATATGGAAAAATATTCTCTAACACACATCAATATATAAGTTCAGTCTGTAGTTTCTTTAATTGGGATAAAATGCACAAAGTTGATTAAATTTGGGATGTAATTATGTTGAATTCATTTTTTTTTTTTAAATTTAAAATTATTATTATGTATTATAATTAAATAATTAAATAATATTTTACACAGATAATTAAATTAATAAAATAAAATAAAAAATTGGTGAGAAAAAGAGGTGGTGAGCTGGCATTGACGAAACTGAGGTTGAATGTTGGAATGGAAGGAAGGAAGGAAATGTGAGATTCATTGGGATTGCAACTTACACGTCTCTTCGCAATCTCTGTTCCTCTCCCACGCCAGGCCTGCTTTTTCTCTCTCATTCTCTCTCTCTCTTTATTTTATATTTTAAAGTACAAACATAATTGAATTTTAGTGTTATAAGATTAAAATACAATTATTTTTTATATAATAAATATTAATGAATTATGTTGTGTTCGAAAACAAAAATAAATTAATTTTAATACAAAATCTAATAGACAGAAATCTTAATTACTTATCATTTACGGTTACACGTGCGCAAATAAACAAAAAACTAATTATAATTTATAAATTTAAAATAAAATATTTTTACGCTCAAGATCAACGAGTGTTGTCGACGCGACACGGAGGGAGGGAAAAACTTGGATCGTCAAAATATGCGAACAGAGCGCGGGTAGAGTCACTAGTCGGATGACACGTGTCCCAATCGAACATCAACAAGAGTGAGTATCTGGTGAGACGAGGTATAGGTTTCGTGAGATACCCGCCAATGTTTTGGTTGTCCGACGTGTAATTCTCACGGGTGCCGTCACCGTTAGCCAATGAAAGGGCGCCATTCTTCTCTCCGTTTGTGAGGGTGGGATTTACCATGAGATATCAGCTAAATCACATTTGATTAAATTAATGAAATATTAAACAAGTGCAGTTTGATAAGGTAATGATGGAATTGATTATAATAATTAAATAATTAAAAAAAAAAGTGGTTGGTAAATGTTGGATTAAAATATTAATTCAATTAAAAAATTAAAAAATATTATTTTAACTGAGGGAGGTGGGACCCAGATTCTGATAATTGTGGAAAACAAGATTATATAATAAGGTGTCGAGGGCAAAAGTCTTAATACAAGACTTGTCTCATGTCCGTGTCTTTGTCTTGATTGTGTGTGAAAAGAAATTCTTAAAGAAATCAATGTCCCCGCTGTTGCTTTAAAGGATACCCCCCTTCTCCCTTCTTTTTACACTTCAATATTATTATGGCTTCTTTTATATATATATATATATATATATATATAAATATATTTATTACTAATTACTTATTGCTAGAGAAATTAATATATTACAAAATTTAAATTTATTAAAATTCATGCATGCTTTTTTAGTTGAATAAAGTCTATTTTTATCTTATGTGTTAGAATTATTTTTAATGATAAATTCTTATAATAATAATTAATTTAAATCAAATATCAGTAAACTCTATATATATATATATATATATGTATATAAGTTAATTAAACTGTGTCACTTTCGGAACCTTTTTGCATATTAACAAAGACACTTCTAAAAGCAACAAGGTTTTGAAGTAATGCTAATTGATTTAAATGGTAAATTAAATGACCAAAGGATTAAATTTTTACTGTATGTCCAAAACAAAATTTCAAATTTTTACTGTATGTCACATTCGCTTATCCAGAAAA